TTTGAGTTGATCAATATATATTGATGAGGAACGATATGCATTGTCACATCATATATGAATTCCTTCAGTTAAAATGATTAGACAACAACTTCATGAAGCAAGTGTTAATTTAAAAACAAATTCCCATACAGAGAATTTTTTGGTCTGCCTATTTCTAGCCTAAGTAACAGATGTATGCCAAATTATTATGGCGGTGTTTGGCAAAGATGTTTTTTTCTAAGAAAATAGTGTCATGTAGGCACCATATCAGAAAAAGTGATGTTCAGAAAGCAGTCTCTTATTTGGTACCGTTTTTCTAAAAAAAAAGTATTGGTCGACTATACCTTAAAAATTAGGAAATGGTGGTCTGATGAAATGTCAAATTCAACATTTTCTCAGAAAACAATTCATTGCTGCTAGCGGTGCAATAACGTGGCATCAATGTAACCTCATCTTTTAATGTAAATTAATGCTGAAAGCTGTTATACAGCACTGATAGAAAATAAAACCAGTGCTGTTTTCCTGGAAAGCAGCCTATGTGGCAGATGCTTTTTAAAAAAATGATGCAACAGACCCTCATGCGTAAAACAYCGTTTTCTCTCAGAAAATATCTCTAACACAACGGCATCGATGCCAAACACCTATACTATATTGATAGACCCAAAACGTTTCAGATAAAGATAACAATTAATCATACCAATTATAAAATACAAATTTGGAGAGTTGCTCCAACATTTACTACATCTTGGCCTCTTTGCTTACAAGTCAATTGATTCCAACTAGTTACTCATGCGGAACTAACTAGAGAATGTTCCAAAAAAAATCCAGGAATCTTCCACTTGACACAAAAAAGTTTTGAAGATGGAGGTGAGGGATAAGTACCACTCCAGATTTTCTATCCACAAACCGTTCCCACATCCATACCTACAAAGACAGACACTACCCTGTGTGTTGGACAAGGGAGATATTCTCAATGTGCGCCTGTAGTGTCTATGGGAACATTAATTTGTGGATAGGTGATCCAAGCCTCAATTGTATTTASAGGCATAACACTAAAAATAAATGAATATAATCAATAAAAGAAAATATCTAAAAAGCTTATTAGTTAAATTCCCAATGACCAATAACTACAGCCTGAGTAGTTTTGAAGTTTCCTTCACATTACACTTTACCCCACTTAGTTCTTTTATTTATATTTTTAATTAAAAGAACAAGTGATATTGCAATTACTATTTTATTCCACACATTCTAACGTATCATACACGTGAACCTTCAAAGCTCAAGCTATTTATTAGGTGGATCTATGTATATGTTAGTGTGGTCAATTGCCCCCACTGAAATCTGAAAAWTTTTTATAAAATAATGAAAATTTTAATTTTTTCACAAGTGCCCCCACTTAAATAAAATACGAGGTTTATTTATTTATGCCTTTTGGCAATGAGTATGGGGCCAAATAATGACACTACGTCCCAAGACCTACTTGAAATCTAAAATTTAAATAATGAGAAGCGAAGTAACTTTTATTCTAAAATTATCATTGACAATCATTACCCCTGAATTAAAGTGGTCATTCAAACCAAACCATCCATTCTCTTTTCAAGTTTGGGAATAGAGGCTTGAAAAGTGGTTGGACCGTAAAAGAGGAAATTGAGGAGACAAATCAGATATAATCCTTTCATTCTATTTCTATTCACTCTAACATTCTTGAAGGACAAAACTATGGTTTTCAAAACTAGACAAAATCAGACAGTTGGAGCGGAAAATCGRGAATCGGTCATCTGATCAGTTCCATTTTTCCTCAAAACCGCTTTTTCCCTAAAACTGTTGATTTTGGTTAGCGAATCGTTGAACCGACTGGTTAATCGTTCGAACCGTTTTGACCATTTTTCAAAATTTTTAATTTTTTTATTTTTTTGTCATAATAGGCCGAGAACTGGTAACCAGACCCCTGACCGATTCGGTTTTAAAAACCATGGACAAAACACACTTGAGGCGCTCTCTCTCTCTTGGTGTTTTACAAATTACAACTCCTAGTTTCTTTTTTATACAAAATCGTCCTAATTGTTGTTGTATTAGGAACGAATTTTCATTCTTTTCTTTTTAAWTCCTTTAAATCCCTACATGCTTGAGAAAATCAGAAAAATCTAAGAGAAAAGACTATACATTTTTGAGATGTATTTATTTGTATTAAAATATTTAGAGTGAAAATATTTTAATCTCAATATATATATATATATATATATAT